TAAATTGCTAGTCTGTCACATGGCAGTGTCGTGTGGTTATTTTATGTGCCTTAAATCCATCAAAGCCCAGGATGGCGCTCAGGTAATCACAGAAGTTTCGGGATATGCGCAGCATGGGAGGGTCTGATTTCTGGTGGCCCCCAAGGGTAGGGGGCCGCAGAGATAGGCTTCCCAGGGGCTTGGCACACCTGATTTTGCACACGCTCTGGAATGCTCACCCCTCTTGCCGCTGGAACCTCTGTCTCCCACTCCTTTTGCGTCCCGCAGCCCCTGCACAGGGCTGGGTGTGTAACTGGCCCTGAACACTGAGCATCACCTCCTGAAACCCGTTCTCAGTGTCCAGGGTGGTCTCCCTGGAGGTGGGAGGGGAGGGACCCACTCAGCTAAGACCCCTTACTAAAGCGAGCAGCCCCTGAGCACCCATTCAGGGAACTGATGTCCCAGTGAGTCCTTGTACTAGTTGAGACTCTTGGTGGCAAGTGACAGAAACTCCTCTCAAACAGGCAGAAAGGAAGTCTAGGGCCAGACAGACTCAGCATGCACAGGGGCCCTGCTCAGCTGCCTCTGTGCAGTGCCCATCTTGGGCAACACAGCTGCCACCCACTCCCACTCCTGGCCTTGGTCTTCCCTGCTGGCAGCCCTGGGGACGAGCCTGCTTCCTTCCCGCAGTTCCAGTGAACGTCGCAGACTGGAGTCTCCTTGGCCCATCATGGTGCCTAGGAGGATGGCACAGGCTGAGTGGCAGGCCTGGGTCGCCTTCCCTCCCCTGATGATTCCTGGGCCCAGTGACGCGCCGCTTTGGCCAGCCGGGGCCAAATGCACAGCCCTGGGTTCCTTGTCTGACCCGCCTCGAAGGAGGAGGGTCGTTGTCAAGAACAGTCAGGGGGTCAGTGCGAACTGGAGGGGGCATTGTGCTGGCTCGAGTGAAAGTGTCCCCCACGCTTGGCCATGGCTGTGGCTACCTGGGCAGTGCTGGCCTTGGCCTGCATCTTCTCTGGGTCTGGAAGGCAGCCATGTGAGCACTCGAGTCAGATGTGAAGTGAAGTGTGTTTTGTGTGCCGTGTGCATCTCAGGGCCTCGTCATGGGCAAAGGCAGGGACTAGTGGGTCCCTACAGTCACATTGAGCGGCTGCTCTGGGCTGGGTCTCATCTGAGTGTGGGGGTCACATCGTTAGCAGCACAGGGTCCCCGCCTTCAGGGAGTCAGTAAAAAATAAATGCATCATGTTAAGTGTCGGTGGGTGGTGTGAGGCAGGCAGAAGTGGGTGGGGTATATGGGGGGGTGGCCTCAACAAGGTGGTCACTCTGAGGAGGTGACAGAGTGAGCCATGCAGAAAGAAAGTGATGGGCAGGGGAGCATTCCAGGCTGAGGAACAGCACATGGAAGGGTCCTGAGGCCCAGCGAGAAGTCCTGTGTGGCCTGAGGGGGTGAGTGAGTTGGGGAGTGGCAGGATGGGAGGACAGAGAGGTCGCTGGTAGGGAGGGGTCAGCTCACGGGGGCACCTGGAGGTCACAGTGAGGACACGGGATTTTACTGAGGGTGCAGGGAGGCCCCTGGAGAATTTCGAGCTGGGTGTGATGTTATCCAGATGACGCTTTTAAAAAACTCACTGGTTTGCATGGAAAACACACCACGGTGGGCAGAGGCAGAAGCAGAGGCTGCTGAGGGCTCTCTGGGAGTCTGGGGAAGGCGCAGCTGGGGAGAAGGGCAGAATCGGGACTCCTTTTGGGGGGTGGCACCGGGATGGGGCATGGCACCCAGGGGCCCCCCCACTCTCAGGCCTGCCCTCCCATGCAATGGCCTGGAGCCACAGCGCAGCCCTGGGACCGTGGGCCCGGGGGAGCTGTGCAGCTGTGCAGTCCCTTCCTGTGTGGGGACCACAGCATCCTCGTTGGTGAATGGGGGCCGACCAGCCTCCGCCTCCCACAGTCCTGGTGCTGCAGGGAGAGCTCTCTGCTCAGGCAGGCGAGGCAGTGAAGGCAGGGGGACAGAAGGGAGGCAGCCGGGCAGGTGCCTCTGCTCTGGCTCCGAGGTGCCCAGGCTGCCAGGCCGAGGGGAGCCTGCCCGGGCGTGTCCCACGTCGCTGGCCCGTGGCCCATGTGGGCATCCACATCAGCGCACAGGCATCTCCGTGCGGAGCAGGAGCCAGTCTGCCCCGGGGCCCCGGCTGCCGCAAGCACCACCTGGGAGAGGTCACTGCTCGACCTTGTTCTCGGGGCCTTGGGGCTGCTCTGGCCGGGGTGCCCTGCTTTCTGGCACTTTCTCAGCCTTAGTCCTGTGTCGTCCTGCCTTGGACCCACTCCAAAGGGAGTCTCCACCTGCATCTCTCACAGGCGGCCCTGTTAGCACGGCATCCCGGAGGGAGGAGGGGCCCGCACCCCACAGCCCAGGGCCCGCCGCCTCGAGTGTGGACCTGGGACCCACGAGGGGGCTGGGAGGGCTATCCACACCCTGGCTGGCCCAGGGCCTGGCCCCGTGCGCAGCCATGGAGCCCACGCCCCAGGAGCAGGTACTGGTGACGTCCTGGTCACACGGTGTGGCCATTAAGGTGAAGAGCTGGCGTTCCTACTGGGGGCTGTTGGCACGACACACGGGTGTCCAAGCCTGAGCGTTCAAGGCCACATTTAGCTGGAGCTCAGAGGTGGCCTTGGCTGCCTGCCTGGGCTTGGGGTGGGGCACGGGGCAGGTGCAGTGGGGTGCTCGGGGACCCAGAGCAGGGCAGGCCCTAGAAATGCAGGTGCTTGAGTATGGAACTGAGGCTGAGTCCCAGCTTCAGGGCTCTGCCATGGGGTCCTTGGAGCTGGGCCGTGGGGCTCAGATCAAAGGCCACACCCTGTGAAGAACCCGGGCAGGATGGATGGAGTCACCCGGTGAACAGCCGTGTTTGAGAAAGTGTCCTATGATCGAGCGGGCAGAAGCCAGAATGAGGATTTAGCAATCACAGCAGAATTTGGGGAAGCATGTCGCAGAGTCTGGAATTCAGATTGGGCAATTCAGATCTGTGAGGGCCAGGCTGCCCGTCAAGCCTCTGCGGGCCAGGCCGGCGCAGCCTCTTGTCTCTGTGACACCCGCTTGGGGCCAGGCTTAGAGGTTGTTCTTTGTAAGTAGTTGCTGAGTGACTCTCAGAGGCCTGAGCAGGACAGGGACTTAGCTTACAGAAGAGAAAACTGAGGGCCAGAGGAGGGGAGATGTGCCCCACGGTAGGTGATAGAGTGGGGACCACGTGTACAGCCTGGACCTGGGGTCCAGGAGTCTCGTCTTCATGCTGGCTGGACACACACACATGGCCCCTCCCTCCCTGCAGGCTAACCTCTTAAGCCCAGAGCCCAGTAGCCAGTGGTGGCAGGCTTGCACAGCCATGTCCCAGGTGCAGGTCACCAGCCCACAGTGGGCCTGGAGCTTGGAGGCCAGAGCAGCCAGGCCAGGCCCAGCCCTGTGCCCTCCCTGGCAGGCCCGGAGTGGGGCCCTTGCCCGGGCAGCTCTGATCATGCCGGTGTGTGGCTGCTCTGGTTCTTTGCCAGAAGGGGAGTGAGCCCGAGAGATGCACTTGAACATTAATGTGCAGTTCACTGAAGCGTGAAATCGCTTCCTTCCTTTACCAGATTGTTACTTAAGGAGAAAACGGACCCGGAGTGGGGGCGTTAGAGACTTCTGAAAATTAAAAATGACAAGGAAGGGATTTCCTTGGCCTCATTACCAGCAAGAAGAAGGCAGCACAGGCTTTTGGGGGTCGGGCCGCTGAGTGCAGTTTGCTTTCTGGCCACTTTCTCTCGAGACGGACCACTCTGCCTGCCTGTTGGCTGAGCCTCATTCCCACAGCGCTGCAGTGGGGTCTCAGGTCGTGCCATCGGCCAGACTGTAATTAAAATGCTTCGGAATACCATATTTCAAGCGGGTGAAGAGTCTGTGTCTGTCTGCTTGCACAGACCGGCATCCTCAGCACTGGGTTGGAGCCTGGCAGAGGAGGGGCACGAGCTGTGGCCCAGGGTCCTGGAGTTGCCTGCAAGACCAGGGAGACCCCGTGTGAGGTGTCCAGCTGCTTTGGGGGAGGCACATCTGGGTTGCTTTTGTGTTCAGCATGTCCCTCTGTCACCTGGGCCTTTGTCTTGGCTTCCGGTTGGGACCTCAGAACTGAGCAGGTGTCTTGTGGGTGAGCCACTCACTGGTCCGCTGGCCTCACCTCGTCCCAGCTGGGCCAGGAGGCCTCTGGATTTGGAGGACGTGTCTCCACTGAGCGCTTGGGCAGTGATGGCAGCTCTTGGGGATCTTTCCAAGGGTGGGGTGCTGAGGGTCTGGCAGGGCTGTTCGGAGCCCAGCTCAGGACAGGGCCGGCCGGAAGCAGAGGGGGTGTACGGCTCTGCTTGGCGTCTGTGGCTCCCTGGGAACGTGGTTTCAGAAGTCTCCCTGCAGGGAGCAGTCTCCCTTGGCCAGTGGAGGGGGCGGTTCGGCTTGGTGCTGGACGGCCCATGTGGGAATCCTGGCTCCGGCACTTTGCAACCGCTCTGCCTCTCTGAGTCTTGGCTGCCCTCGCCATCGAGTGGGCCGCAGGAGCAGCGTCCCCAGAGGACCACTCTGAGGGTGGAATGGGGTCCAGGGCACACGCTACTTACTACTGCCTGGACATCCCCTTAGCTGGGGACACCATTTGCATGTTCTTGTCACCATGGGAGGCAGCTGCAGTTCCAGCTCGCCCAGGGGTAGCTCATCTCCAGGCTAGAGAAGTTTGGTTCCAGAGCTGGGGCAAAAGCAATTTTGAAGGGCAGGGGTGAAGCCCAGTCTCTGCTGCCCAAGTTGTCCTTGGCGATGCGTTGAAGGGAGGGGCTTGGTCTGGGTTTGGCAGAGTTGAGCAGCGAGGAGGGGTGGGAGAGGGCAGGGCGGCTGGGGGCAGGAGCTTAAAGGTTAGCTGCCATGAGGACAGTGGGCAGGGAGTCAGAGTCTGCACTCTCCGAAATCTGTGCATCAGGAGGGGGCCCTCTCACCTATGGCCTTGTGCCCAGCAGGTTGGCTCAGCATGTCAGTCAGCGTCCACGAGACCCGCAAGTCGCGGGGCAGCACGGGGTCCATGAACATCACCCTCTTCCACAAGGCCTCGCACCCCGACTGCGTGCTGGCCCACCTCAACACACTGCGCAAGCACCGCATGTTCACCGATGTCACTCTCTGGGCGGGCGACCGCGCCTTCCCCTGCCACCGTGCCGTACTGGCTGCCTCCAGCCGCTACTTCGAGGCCATGTTCAGCCACGGCCTGCGGGAGAGCCGGGATGACACGGTCAACTTCCAGGACAACCTGCACCCCGAGGTGCTGGAGCTGCTGCTGGACTTTGCCTACTCGTCCCGCATCGTCATCAACGAGGAGAACGCCGAGTCCCTGCTGGAGGCGGGCGACATGCTGCAATTCCACGACGTGCGGGACGCTGCTGCGGAGTTCCTGGAGAAGAACCTCTTCCCCTCCAACTGCCTGGGCATGATGCTCCTGTCCGACGCCCACCAGTGCCGCCGGCTCTATGAGTTCTCCTGGCGCATGTGCCTGGTGCACTTTGAGACGGTGCGACAGAGCGAGGACTTCAACAGCCTGTCCAAGGACACCCTGCTGGACCTCATCTCGAGTGATGAGCTGGAGACAGAGGACGAGCGGGTGGTCTTCGAGGCTATCCTCCAGTGGGTGAAGCATGACCTTGAGCTGCGCAAGGCCCACCTGCCCGAACTGCTCCGGAGTGTGCGGCTGGCCCTGCTGCCATCTGACTGCCTGAAGGAGGCCATCTCCGATGAGGCCCTGCTCATGGCGGACGAGCGCACCAAGCTTCTCATAGACGAGGCGCTCCACTGCAAGAGCAAGATCCTGCAGAACGACGGGGTGGTCACCAGCCCCTGTGCCCGGCCGCGCAAGGCGGGCCACACGCTGCTCATCCTGGGGGGCCAGACCTTCATGTGTGACAAGATCTACCAGGTGGACCACAAGGCCAAGGAGATCATCCCCAAGGCGGACCTGCCCAGCCCCCGGAAGGAGTTCAGCGCCTCGGCGATTGGCTGCAAGGTCTATGTGACTGGGGGCAGGGGCTCTGAGAATGGGGTCTCCAAGGACGTGTGGGTGTACGACACTGTCCATGAAGAGTGGTCCAAGGCAGCGCCGATGCTGATCGCCCGCTTCGGCCACGGCTCGGCTGAGCTGGAGAACTGCCTCTACGTGGTCGGGGGACACACGTCCCTGGCAGGTGTCTTCCCAGCTTCCCCTTCTGTCTCCCTGAAGCAGGTGGAGAAGTACGACCCCGGGGCTAACAAGTGGACGATGGTGGCCCCGTTGAGAGATGGCGTCAGCAATGCTGCGGTGGTGAGTGCCAAGCTGAAGCTCTTTGTTTTTGGGGGGACCAGCATCCACCGGGACATGGTGTCCAAAGTCCAGTGCTACGACCCCTCGGAGAACCGGTGGACGATCAAGGCTGAGTGTCCCCAGCCTTGGCGGTACACAGCCGCCGCCGTGCTGGGCAGCCAGATCTTCATCATGGGAGGTGACACGGAATTCACGGCTGCCTCGGCCTACCGCTTCGACTGCGAGACCAACCAGTGGACTCGGATCGGGGACATGACTGCCAAGCGCATGTCCTGCCATGCCCTGGCCTCGGGTAACAAGCTCTATGTGGTGGGGGGCTACTTCGGGACCCAGAGGTGTAAGACCCTGGACTGCTATGACCCCACTTCGGACACGTGGAACTGCATCACCACCGTGCCCTACTCGCTCATCCCCACGGCCTTTGTCAGCACCTGGAAGCACCTGCCTGCGTGAGGAGCACCTGCAGAGCCCAGCCAGGTGAGCTGTCCACCCCTTGGGCCTGTTCCCACTCTGGGTAAAGGTTGCCGCGTCTTCCAGGGAAGGCTGGGTAGGGCAGCAGCTGGCTGGGGGCTCTGGGACCCTTTTTCAACTCTGGAACCAAAGCCTGGCTCTGCACCTTAATTGCGGTTGACCTTGAGCAAAGCATGTGACCCCTGTGCCACATGGAGATGACAATCTTAGACTGGTGGGGTGGTTCCCAGACCCAGCTGCAGGTCAGAATCATCGGGGGTCTTTTGACAACAGTATGTGGCGTTTAGGCCATCCCACAAAGTCTGAGGGCACAGTCTCCAGGCAAGAGTGTCATCACTTCTGATGCCAGCTGCAAGGTAGGGGCTTCCCAAAGCCACCCTCAGGTTCAAGCGCTCACCGGAAGGACTCAGAGAATGTGCTGAAGGCTCTTATGTTCACAGTTATGGTTTGTTACATGGAAAGGATACAGATTTAAGATCAGCCAAGGGCAGAGACGCTTGGGACGGAGTCCCAGGGGGTCCAGACATCAAGCATCCGTGGTCCTCTCCCCATAGAGTCAGGACAGTGTTACTCTCTAGCATCAGTGAGTGACAGGCCACAGGGAGTGTCACCCACCAGGGAAGCTCACACAAGCTTTGGTGTCCAGAGTTTTTACTGGGGCCTCCTCACATATGCTTGATTGACTGATTAATTGCCCATGTGGTTACTCTCAGTCTCCAGTCAACTGGTACAGCATGACCCAAAGCTCCCACCCTAAATCACGGTAATATAGCCACCCTCACCCTAAACAAGGACACTGCTGTCAGGTGTGACTTAGATCACTCCCAGAAGCTGGGGGCAAAGGCTAGACCTCTGTTTGGGCAAGGCTGGATTCCTTACTGCACCAACACTGGAGGGTGTGCATACCCAGCCCCGTGAGCCAGGTCTTTGGGGCGGGGCCCTGGCCTTGGGACGCTTGCAGCTCCAGGTGAGTCCAGTGGGCCACCAGGTGAGAACCTGCCACCAGGGGCCTGTGAGAAACGAGAGGGGAGATGGATGGAGTGCTCAAGGGCTGAGGTGGGCGCTGGCGCTCTGGGGCAGTGGCGGTACTCCCGTCCCTCTGCGTGACGGAGAGGAGGCCGCCCTGGAAGCAGGCATCCCATGAAGTGAGGGAGCCAGCCCTGCTGGGGCTCGCTGCAGAGACCCGCCCCTGAGTCCCTCCCCTGCTCTCTGTTCTTAGTACTGCTGGTCCACGAGACCATTGCAGGGAAAAGGGAAGGTGACTGGATGCCAGGAGCTAAGGGACACCTTCAGGAGCACTTTGAGGGTGCTGGAGGGACGGGGAGACACAAGGAAGGACGTGCCCAGGTCCTGAGGACAGATGCAGAGTCAGGTGAAGGGAAAGGGGAGGGCAGAGGAAGGACCTGCTTATTCTGGGGGTGGGGGGATTGGCATCAGGTCCTAGAGTGGGGTTAGGGTGTCCCAAGCCATCCTGCAGGAGCTCAGGGGAGGGCCTGGCGTGGCGGTGGCTCTGTCGGCGCCAGAGAAAGGTTTGTGTTCTGGTCACACCCTCCTTGGCCAGGTCCCAGCTTCTAGCCTCCTCCTGGGCCCCTCACACCTGCGGTGGGGCTGCGGGTCCTCAGCCCTGGGGCTGTGAGGTCTGGGGACCCAAGGGTGGATGGGCACAGCGAGGTGTGGGCCCCAGGACTCTAAGAAGCTGGGGCAGGTGGGAGATCCCAGGGTCTGCTCTACCCCCAGCGCGAGAACAGGCCAGGCAGGAAGGCTGGGGATTGGCCGCAGCCCTGGGGTGTCCTGGAGCCAGTCTGGGCCAAAAACTTCATCTCCTGAGTGCCCGGCAGCTGCCAATGTGCGTGCTGAAAGCAATCGTCTTAGCTGGGATTGCTTCTCCGTGAAATTGGACATTTCAGCTATAAATCACATCCAGCGGGGCCTTCGAGGCCCTTAGAGAGATGCACTGGCCAGCGAGGCATCAAATCCATCAGTGTAGGGTGTTGGGGCTCATAAAGGCCAGCCTGAATAGGAAGGGGCGTTGTTCTCTTTTCAGGTTTTTCTGTTTTATTTTAAGCTGCTGTCTTCCTCTTTAGGAAAAAAATCTGACCAGCCGGATTTCTTGGTTCCCTGGCAGTAAGCCTCAAAGAGAACACTGGCGTTTCCTCATGGTCTGGTTCCTATTCCCCCTGGGAACTTAGAACCTGGGGGTGGTCACCTGTGGGGCCTGAACGCTCCTCCCACCTCAGGCAGCTCCCACCTTCCCTCCCCGGGACCCTGGAGGGTGGTTCATCCCCAAGGAGGAGGGAAGGGAAGCCCACATTGCTTCTTGGCGCTGGCTCCTACTGGCTGCTTGCCTCTGGTCACTTAACTTCCCTGAGCCTCAGCTTTCCCATCTGGAAAACTGGAATAAAACCTGTATTACTCATAGTACTTAAATACGAGACCAAGTGAGGGGCCAGGTTCAGGCAGCTTTAATACGAGGTTGCGATGTAGGGGGTGGTGGTGGTGATGGTTTGGTGGAGGCCTCTCGATGTCCCTGGGCCAGCCCGTCCTTCTGGAAAGGTCCATCCCCACAGTCGGGATCGCTGTGATTGGGGAGGCACTTCCCGTGAGCCTAGCTGAGTGCTGCACGGGCCTGTTCCTTGCGTCCCCCATTCCCAGGCGCAAGTGCTGTCGTCAGCCCTGTCGCAGGGCTGAGGAAGCAGGTGCAGAGAGGCTATTGCACAAGCCCGGGCCAGGCCTGGATCCGCCTGGAAGCTGCCCGGGCCCTGCCATCCCAGAGCCGTGTCCTCAGCCTGGTTTGTAAGCATCTGCAGAGCTGCAGTTTCCCGAGCTCCTGTGCCAGCATCCAGTCTGCATCAGAGCCGAGGTTTCTTTTAGGCTGCAGCTATTAGCCTGCATCCTGGCCGTTCCCTTCTCCTGGGCCCCAGCAGCCAACCAGAACCCTCCTTGTAGTCCCTTCTTGGCCCAATGCTGCCCCTTTCCATGGCTCTGCCCCACAGGTTGTCCCCATGTTCTGTAAAGCCCCCTTCTGTCCAGCTTTTCCTGCCTGGACCAGCGTGGAGTTCCCTGGATCTCCTTCAAAGGTGGGACGTACCCTGGGCTCTCTGGGGAGCGGCCGGTCACAGCACTGGGGCAGGAAGTGGGAGCCCAGGATGAGCCTGGCCTCCCTCGGCTCCCTGGGAAATGGGGCTGCTGTGGCAGGAAGGCAACCCCTCGCTGCTGCTGCTCAGGCAGCCACCATGGTGTTGCCAGGACCAAGCTGAGGGCTCACCCTGCCTGGGGGCAGCAGATGGAGCGGGGTGAGGAGCTGCGCCGTGGAATCCAAGCGAGGTGCAGGGGGAGTGCAGGCTGAGCACTCTGGACCAGGATGGAGGTCAGGAAGGGCAGAGATCAGCGTGCAGGCTGCCTCTCGCTCCACTCCTACGGTGGGCACCCCAGGTGACCCTGGCACTGTCCACTGCTGGCTGTGCCAAGAATTCCCTGGCTCAGTGCCAGGGCCAGAGGATGGCTTCTGTACCCATCCCGCCACCCCAGCTGGCCTCCCTGACCCTCTGTCACAGTCCCTCTTGCAGGCAGCCGAGTAGGACCGGCGGGGCTCCCTGCGGGCACTGCCACCCTCCCTGTCTCCCAGCCTGGAGAGCATCCAGTCCCTCACCCCTCTGTCCATCTTACAGGACTCCGACTTCAGGAGCCACCAGCCAGCAGTCCCCTCACTCTGCAGCCCCTCAGCACCCTGCATGACACCCCTATTCGTCCCCAAGCTCTTTATTCTCTGTCTCCGCCACCAGTTTTGAGCTCTTGGCAAGACTTTGCTGAGTGCTGTAGCCACGGTCTCATTTAACCTGCAGAACACTCTGTGGCAGGTGCTGCTGTGACAGAGGTGGCAGCTGACACTCAGAGAGAGTGGGTAGTTGGCACCAGATTCACAGCTACTCAGTGTTGGAGCGGCATCTGAGCCCCCGGACGTGCCCCATGCCTGTAGGCATCTCTGGAGAGCCTGGCCCCCCACGTCTGCACCCTGGCACCGGGTGTGGGACCCGCGTGTGTGGCTGCCCAGCCATGGGGGCGAATTGCTATGTTAGAAGCTGAATGCTGGCAGGACCTCCAGGGCCAGCCCCTTAGCTCCAGTGTCGCAGTGAGAGCTGTGTCCCTGGGTGACAGTCAAGGAGGCCCCTGGAGCTGGGTGTGGGCGTTCATCTCCCTGGTTACCCGCTCACTGTGGACCAGCCATGAACGTTCTTTTCTTTTCCTCTCCCACGGAGTTCTGCACCACCCCCCCACCACTGCTCCCCCCACCTCATGGGCTTTCACATGCCAAGCAGGTGTCCCAGCTGCGTGAGCTGGGCCTCTCTGCACGGGCATTGTTGAGACCCAGCCGCCAGGGCAGTGAGGGCTCCAACTCCAGCTCTGGGGGGCCCTGCAGGGGGCTCGGTCACTGCCATAGGAGGGGACGATTCAGCACATTCTATCCTGCCTCAAAAGAAATTGCTGCCAGGAGGCAATCCCAGAGCACAGGATGGAGGGCTGGGCTTGGGGCGGTGAGAGAGGTGCCGGGGTTGGGGGGGTTCAGGCCTCTGGACACCCCCGCTCTGTGCCTCCATCCTGCCCCTGAGGTCTTCTGTTTGGCTGGCTTTTACCAGGGCCAGCCCTGGGGTCAGGACACGGTTCGCCCTTGACAGCCAGCAGTCCGAGTCCGGCAGGGCAGACCCCACACCAACCTGCAGGACGGGCAGAGCCCACAGCACACGGACAGTGCAGGTGACTGCTGGCCCCACGTCCATTCTGCCAAGTGGAGGAGCATCCCATTGCACAGACGGGAACCAGGCCTCGGAGAAGCAGCTGCCAGAAATCCAGGTGGCCCAGACTAGGACCGCCTTGGGGAAGCCCGAGGACAGCGCACCAGCTCCTCCCAGCAGCAACTTGGGATGCCAGAGGGTGCCACCCCCCAGGCCAGGGTCCCACAGCCCCTCACCCTGGCACGGGTGGCTTTAAGGTTTGGTTTGGAGCAGCAGTGGGGCCTCGTCCTGTGGGGACGCCCCTGTCTGTGCCTGGTGTGCTGGGAGTAGGTGGAGCAGGGCCAGGCCCCAGAGGTTTGCGTTTCCCCCCTTGGAGCATGTTGGGGTGTTGGGGGGCCTCATGACCCAGCTTCTCACTTGTGAGAAGCTTGGAGGAATTTGGGGGAGCTGTCACGGCCCCCAAGAAAACAGTGGCTGCCCTGGCCTGCCCAAGCCACACACCTGGAAGCTTGCTGACCCCCCGGGGACATCGGCCTTCCAGGAGCCGTGAAGGGGCACTCCGTTCGAAGGAAAGATGTCCCTCAGGACCCAGTGCTGGCTTGAATGTCTTTTATTTAATGTTACTTAAGTACGTGCGTGCTTTACAACCAGATGTAAGTAAGCGCTTTAGTTTGCAGCTCTTACACCGCTGTGAAGCTGACACAGAGGTGCAGGGTAACTGTAACCAAATCTGTAAAACGGAGAGTGCCGTCCCGCGGACGGATGCTTTGCTGAGGGGTCTTGCCTCCTGGCCCCCTGGGGGAATGGATGTGGAGAGCTCGGCTGGCCTGTGCCAGGGCCTGCTGCTCTTTTCCCCCTCGAAGCCACCACGAGACCTCCCTCAGGCAGCTTGGGGGGAGGCAGTCATGTATCATCCTCGTTCTCCTCAGGAAACACAGTGCTCAGAGAGAGTGGACACTCCTTGAGGACCTAGCACTGGAGTGGGAGCTTCATGACCACAGGACCTGTCCTACCGCGTTCACCACTGCCTCAGTCCCCACGGCTGTGCTTGTTCTGCCTGACAGCATGGCTGACCCTGCCCTGCCTGCCTGCCTGCTCTCTGACCATGTCTGCCCTTTGCTGTTTCCACCTCGCTGGCCTTTCCTGTAGATTTTCAAGCATGCCAAATTCCCACCTCATGGCCTTTGCACATGCCATTCCTTCTGCCTGGACTGCTGTCTCCCATCCAGCTAACTCCTGTCCATCCTTCGGGTCTCAGGTTGAATGGTACCTCCTTCCCACACCCTCCACCAGAAAAAAACGAAGTCCTGGTTCTGCTCTTTAATTTTTAATTTATAGCACTTCTCTTGATACTTGACTACTCTGTGCAGTGATTTGTACCAGCCTGCAGTGTCTCTGCTGGGGGATGATCTGTGGGGACAGTAGCCATGTCTGGGTGCCCTCCTGCTTCCCCAGCGCCCAGCATGGGGCCTGCCAGGCTGAGGGCGCTCAGGGAATGTGGCTGGAGGGAACGAAAGGGTGAATGCGTAGTTCCCGTGTTCTCGTTGGGGAAACCGTGGCTCAGCGGACTCGTTCAGGGCTGCACTGCTGGACACAGGAGGGCCGCCCTCCCCCGCCCAGCCTTCTGTGGTGGGGGCCCGAGCTCCAGCCCTGACACGCGGCCTCTCGATGGTCCTGTTGTTCCAGGTTAGGACAGAACAGGTGGGCACTGACTCACATCCTCTCTCTCCCTCGTGTTCCTCCGCAGACTCTGCGTGTTTCTCCCCACCCCACGGCTGCAGCCCTCACTGTCACAGAGAGGCCCTGACCCTGTCTGTCACTGCGGGGAGCTCAGCCCGGCCCGGGGCCGGCAGCCAGCCCCACCAGCTCCAGGAGCAGCGGCCTTGGGGGCTCTTCTGAGTTTTAGATGGAGAAGAAGCCGTCCCCAGCACCCCGTGTGCCTGTCCAGGGCCTTTGCTGCTCTGCAGTGTTTGGCGGAGGGAGAGAACCTTCCAGAGCAGCGTGGAGTGACACCAGGACCCTCTGAGCCTCCGGGAGGAGGACACCTTTGCAGAGCTTTGAGGTCACCTGTTGCTGCAGGTGCTGGGGCCGGGGCCAGGCAGGGAAGCGCCCAGCATGGGGGGGTCGGAGGTGGGCAGCATTCATGGCCTAACCTTCCCTGTGGAGGGTTGCGATGTCACCCCAGAGAGGATGTCCCAGGTCGCGGGGAAGCAGGGTCCCCCAGGACTGAGAGCAGAAGTTGCTGAGAATAAAGTCGAGGACACATCTTGTAAGGGGCGGAAACCTGTCAGGTGCCTTCGGTGACATCCACAAGGCTTCATTAGGAAATGACACCCAGACCCCCAAGGCTAAAGAGGACATCTCCTGTGGGCCCCTCCCCGGAGTCTGGCCCTCCCCTTGGGGACCTTGCCACGTCCTGGTCAAGCCAGCCCTGTCCCGGGATGCTGCGCCCAGGTGCAGACACTCTCCTGCCCAGTCACACAGCAGGACTCAGGGCCCATGGTGACGCATGCTGCTAGCCAAGGGATGCCCTTTGGGGCTGCCCTGTCACCTCCCCTCCTCAGAACCCACCCCAAGAGGCAGCAGTGACCCTGTCTCCTGACAGGACCGCAGTGGTCCTGAGAATGTGGCCCTACCCTCCGAGGCCAGGAGCAGATGTCAGCTGGGGACCAGAGAGGGGCTCCAGGGCTGTGCTCAGCACAGAGGACGGCAGCAAGGCCACAGCCCCCGGGCCCCTAACCAGCACCCACTGCCCTCTGGCATCTTGGCCTTCTGACTAGTAACTGGATCTGGCCTATTTGCCCTCTGAGCTCAAAAAGGACAAATGGTCCCAAGAGAACTGCCAAACATTATTTCACCTCCTGTGTCCCCGGCATCAGGGGTTCTGGAGAGGTCAGCTCCTGCCAACAGCCATCCTGACACCTAGAATTAGAGTTTGGGGCTCATCACCCCCTCGCCCCGGGGCACCTTTGGAGGGACTGAGGGTTCTTGGTCCCTTGGTCAAGACCTGTGGCTCCCAGGCCGCCTGCCATATGCAGAGTGCTGCTTGGTGCTTCATGACTGGCCTCCGAAGGGGGCTGTGTGCGCCCTTTATAAAGATCTGAGGCCGTGTTACACACCAGCCGCTTTCCACAAGTCAGCCCTGCCCCTTACAGGCCCTCCGCGCCGGCACTGGTCCTGCGGGCATCCCTTGGGGCCCTTGGCCTGGGTTTGCCCACCCGGGAGCCCCAGCCGGGGCCGTTGGCTGCCACTTGGAAAAAGCCGGAAGCAGAAGGTGGGTGTCCAGCTTCTGCAGGCTCCACCCACGTCAGAGGTTGGCCCCCTTTGCTCTCAGTGCTCCATCTCAGCCACCCTGAAGCCACGTGGCTCTGGTCCCAGGAGCTGATGACTCTGCTGGAGAACTCGCAGCCCCGGGGCTCCTCCTGGCCTGGAGGGCCCCCCAGGCCTGTTGGGCTTCTGACTTGAGACAAGCACACTTCTCACACGGCACAAAGGACCTCACAGAGGGGCTGCCCCTGACAGGTGCATTGCTGTTACCCGTTTCTGACTTAATAAAAGAGTTGAGAAAAGTCTTGGCTTTCCTTGGGCATGGGGACCAGTCTTGGGGGACACAAGGCACAGGCAGACTTCAGTTTCCGCCCTGCCAACTGGGGCCTGAAGTCTGCCCATTGGTGTCTGACCCTCCAGTGAGTGGGGGTGGGCGAGACCCCCTCCCCAGGGGCCCATGGGCCCCCAGATGAGAGGGCTTCCCTCTCTGCCTCAGGTGGACTCAGCGGCCTCTAAATTGACCCTTGTGTGGAATCCTGATGCAGGCTCCCCTTCCCCACCGGGAAAACCCCAGTGTGAGGGACTCTGGTGTCATTCCCTTTGTGTGCTGTGAGCTCCCACTGACGCTCATTTGTGTGACAATAACCCAGGCCCCGTGAGGCAGGCGTGATGACTCCATTAGTTTCCTCAGTTGTCACAACACAGCCCGTAATGGTGTGTCCCTGGCCTCCTTTCACGCGGTGCCATAGCTGTTATGAACTGTAGACTCAGAGAGGACATGAGGAACGTTCTGCGATCTGACCTCGAGGTGCCCCTCGGAGCGGGTTGCCCAGTAGCTGGGCAGGATGGTCTCCTCGTGCTCCGGGCCCTTCTGCTCTGAGCTGCAGCCATGTGCAGCTCCCAGGACCCAGACTGGCAATTCTTCAGATGCTGAGTTACAGCGCCTTACTCCTACGGGCGCCCATCACCTGCATGGACGCGCAGGCTCAGAAGTGTGCAGGTGGAACAGCCTAGAGCAGAGCCACTCTCCTACCTGCCAGCACAGCCGCCGAGGCACAGCCTGGGAGGGACATCCTGGCCTGTCACTGTTCGCTCCTACCGCAGTGGTGGGAACAGCAAAGCAAGCACCGCCTTTGCACATTCCTGAGTTCTAGACAGTGGACATCAGAAGCCAGGGGGGCGGCCTCCTGTTAGGCTGCTGTAGCCACAGCCCCAACAGGAAGCAGAGGTGTGTTTCTCATTTATGCAGCCACGATGCGAGTGAGCACGAGCCAAGGCTGGAGAGGCTCCTGTCTTGTCGCTCTGCCAGCTTCCATGCAAGACTTTTGTCTCCTGGCCCAACATGGCCACCCAGCTCCTGCCATCCCATCTGCATTACAGCTGGCAGGAAGGGGAGAAGAAGTGACCCCAAGCTTGCACATATAACTTGCACACTCCAGCAGGAGGCTGGGCAGTGCCAGCTAAAACACTGGACTCTAGTGCTGAATAAAGGGAAGGTGGCTATTAAGGGACGAGTTGCAGTCTGTCCATGTACCCAGCATCTACTGCCTACACCCACCTGCTTCCCCCTTCTGGAGCTGGCGAGGCGGGACATGCAGAGCCGGCAGCCCCTTCAACAGCCTGGCCCTGTGTGTTCCCCCTGCACGCCCCCCCACCCTGCACACATCCTGACCAGTGCATTGCATAATCGTCCACTGTGATCCTCACATTCTTGTGATCTTTCTGCTGGTGAGGACACAGGCCGAGGGGTTAAAGGTGCTCCCCTGCGGACTCACTAGGGCTGGGAGGCGCCAGGCTGCAGTGGACAGAGCGTGGCCTCCGGGGCTCGGCCCAGCTGGGGTTGGGTCCTGGTGCGCAAGTGTGTGCAGGCTCGGATGAGCTGTCTGATTCTGTGATGCAGGCTTGGTGATGGCGGGGTCGCAGAAGGAACGGAGGTCGAGTTCTGTGCAGCACTAGATGCCGAGCCGGGCACCTGGACAGCCGTCACTGCACTGGGGGGATGGGATTCGCACCCACTGCCCAGCGGGCCTACCTCCGTGCTCCCTGGCTTCCCGGGGGCCAGGCGGAATCTGGGATGGGGCTTTGGGGAGGGAGAGGGAGCCCTCCCATCAGTGACGGGGCAAGGGATTCCTGGAGACCTCGGTCCGGAGACGACCCGCAGAGCTTGCATGGCGGTGGCTCCCAATGTGGGAAATAGGACAGGCCACCTGGAGGCTTCAGCAGCCTGTGAGCCTGCCCAGGGACGCACATTTCCCGGGGCGAGGAGGGTGCCTGCCTGCCGCCTCCTCACTGCTCCCCTGCCAGGTCTCCCTGCGTCCACAGGGCCCTTCCTGGCTCGGGAGCTGGTGAGGGGCCCTCAGACCATCAAGCCAGTGTGTGGAACCCCCCTGCTTGACGCCGAAGCTGTAACTCATCGTGGGGAAGGGAGGGGCCTTCGAAGCAGCAATGTCTTGAACGTTCTCCTGGGTCTTCACTAGGTGGGTATTTTGCACAGTAAGAAATTTCCAGACTCCATCTTGTCCCAGCCTCAGCCCCAATGGCTCTACCAGCCTCTCCCCTTCAGGACAGGGAATGTCCTCTTGCAACATGCAGGTGGACTTCTTCGGGGAGGCCAGCCTCCCACTGCTTTCCTGCCCCTCGGGCAGCTGGGCTAGAACTGGCCGCACCTGACCTCCCGCCCTCCGGCCTGAGGCACCTGCGCGGTTGGGCCTGCCCCGAGCCAGGTGTGGCTGCGGTGAGTTTCCAGCACGTCCGCAGATGTGTCTTGGCTCCTCGCTTGCCCTGCTGCGCCCTGGGCTCCAGACTTGGGCTGAGCCTCCTTAACCATCCAGGAGCAGCCTGGGGAGGCCCCGCCCGAGTGTTCTTAACCCAGGGTGCAGGGTCGGATTCAGGGGGCCATGCTCTCGGATGGGAAGGAATGACACCCTTATTTTCAGGGACTTCTAACTGATAATTAGCATCTTCTCCAGCTAGGAATGCAGGCAACGGCCCCACTGGTATCAGAGCCCCTGGGGCGTTGTCTCTGGATATTTTCTTAGGACATCATGATTGTCAGTGTCTTGAAATGTCACACTCATTGCTATTGCCAGGTTACAGTCATTCTTAGGCCGGCCACTAGATCACGTTACTTCACGTGTTAATAAATTACTGTTAATATCGTAAGTTTGTTTTGTTAAATATTTGGTTGGTGTTATGGGTTGAAGTGTGTCCCCTCAGTTCCTATGTTGGAGCCCTAACCCACAGAACCTCAGTGGAACAGGGCCTTTGCACATGTAATTAGTTAAGATGAGGTCATCCTGGAGCAGGTGGGCCCTAAGCCAGGAGGACTGAGGTCCTTAGATGGAGGGGAAATTCGGACCCAGACACGCCCACAGGGACACCTGTGAAGACTGGAGTTATTTGCCACGAGCCAGGGAACCAGTGAAGCCAGGGGCCGCAGCAGATCCATCTCTGAGTGAAGGGCGCCGCCCTGCTGACAGACACCTGCCCTCCGACTCTGGCCTCCAGGACTGCCACAGCCGGTTTCTGTTGTTAAGCCACTTAGTGCGTGGTCCTGCTTTGTACGGCAGCCCTTGCAAACTGAAATAATAGGTTTCCTTTGCTGGCCCAGGTGTTGTATTTTGTATATTTAAAAGCATCCTCCTGAGGAGTCCACAGAAGGGTCCAGAGCACAGAAGAGCTTAGGGAGCCCTGACCAAGGGGAAGCCGAGGGGCGCAGTGGGCACTGGGTTCACAGGAGGCTCCCTGGCAGCCGCGGGCCTGCACCATGCCCTCAGCCTCAGCAGCCAAGCCGAACACAGCCAACCGCATGCCTTCCTGGTGGTCCAACCCAGGAGAGCTGGAGCCTGCCAGGCTCGAGGCCCCAGATGGGGGGGACTCGGCAGGCAAGGGGGTGGGGGCCCTCCCCTGGGAAGCCCAACGCTGGCCTCGCTGGCAGTGGGGTTGCTCCCTGCCCTCTGGCCTGTGTCGCACAGCCCCGAAGGCACCAGCCAGACTTGAGTTTCTGCACCCAAGTGTCGCCCACGTGGGCCTAGCCTGGGGAGCTGCGCCCCTGCTGGGTCTCCCACACCCGCGGCCCCTCCATGCCCCAAGGCAGTCGCTGCACAGGGCCCCTCCTCGGTCTCACCTCCAGCAGCATCCTTCCTGACGACAGAAGGCCAGACCCGGCGCCCAGGTTGGAGAAATGCTGCTGAGCTGTGAGGAGCCATGGTACGGTGGACACGTTTGCGATGGGGATCCAGGGAGGCCCGGTCCCATTTCCCCGACCCGGACAATGGGGACACTGGGGCCAGCCAGAGCCAGCAGCCCTCCTCCAGATAGCCATGCAGAGCGCAGGCGGACTCGTGCTGCATCCCCTGCGGCCTGTCATCCTTCTTGATCTGCTGTCACCTGGCCACCAGGTGCCCAAGCTGGGACCTGGCCGCCTTTGTAAGAAATGACTGTAAGAGTTGTAAATGGAGGAGGCGGAGGGGAGCCTAATTCACACCTTGTTCCCCTCACCCCCTGCAGATACAGTCCTCTGACTCAGGCTTTGGGGTAACCTTCATCAGCACAGACGTTCCTATGTTTGGCTTCTGTGTCCCCCCACGTCCTGCTGCTCCATGTAGACATGACCTTGGAGCTGTGACGCACTGGCCTTGGACCAGACAGTTAAGGTCCCTGTGCTTCAATTGCCATGTGTGTAAAAGGGGACGTCAGGAGCAGCCGTCGCACTAGGTCCTTAGAACTGAACGACACATAGTAAGTCCTAGCCCCACAAAGTCCTGAGAGAGCCCGGCCTCAGGGAACCCTCAGCTGTTAGTTGCACCACGTGGTCCTCACCGGCTGAGCTCAGTGACCTTGCCCTGCACAGACCCCACCCGCCCGCCCCTCCCCTACATGTCCCCAGGCTGATTCCTGTCCATCGGTTTGCAGGTGAGCGGTCAGCAGTCCGTCACCATGACCATCTTGGTACACGTCACTTTTTGCTTCTCGTGTCAACGCTCTGGGCGGTATCACCCCCTAAGGTGGTTGTTGAGGTCTGAGTGCAGTGTAGTTTTCATAGAAAAGACACAGGCTTTGGGGTAAAAGGGCAGCATCTGCACCAGGTGAGACTCTCCAGAGCCCAGCAGATCCAGATGAAGCTCTGGCGTCCGTCGTTCCCAGTTGCCGGGCCCTGGGCAAGATGGTCTGTCTGACTCGGTTTCCTCATCTGTAAGGAGAGAAGGCCAGCCCGCTGACTGGAGGACTGCTGAGGGCCTTCAATGGGAACATGTGTGTTTCTTTCTTAAAACACCAAACCGGGTGGGGAGGGCTCTGGGAG